TCAGGTTACTGGGACGTTTCTTCAACCAGTGACTAATATAGTGACAGACACTTTCTTCCGTAAAAAGACCCAAACAGAAATATATGTACAGAAGATCTGAAAGTTCATATTCTCATGGGATTTTCCTCACTTTTGCTCATATACATCCTTTTACTAAAACCACATTTTGCAGAGATTCTGAAAAGGATCCAAAGGGTCTCAGTTTACAATCAGCCAGGAGAAAGAGGGAAAAAAAATTTAAATGGTCATCAATGTTGGGGGAAATATGAGAACAAACTGAACTGTTCTCAATGGCTGTGTGTGTGTGATGGTGTGTGACACTTCCTGTTTCAGTGAGCTGATGTCGTGCTCTGAAGACGGCAGCGTGAGGATGTGGGAGATCCAAGATTTACCTTTGGCTGCTGAACCTGCATCTGCAGGTTAACACACACACACACAGTTGTGTTTTCTGGTTTAAGCGTTACACAGTCTTTACTTTTTTAGGGGGGACTAAAACACTTTTCAGATTTTCATTGCTTAAAAATGTGAGATTATGTCTAATTTTTCTGCATCTTCCATGGAGATGCTAAACTGTCACAAATTCCCAATATGTTGAAATGTTTGCAGTATTGTTGCAAATAGTCCTTTTTATTTTTTAACAGGGTTCTTCGGTATGTGGACTTTTGGACGGTCCAGCAAACAGCCTGGTCCTCAGTCAAAGAAGGTCCTGGAAATCCCCAACCTGAGGACGCTGGAGCTGACCGGAGATCTGATTGGACACTCGGGAGCGGTCCAGGTACGAACCCGTGAGATTTTAGACATGACTACACAATCTAGATGGCGCCGGTGTTCTTCAGCCGCCAATGCCAGACTTCTTCTTCCAGATGTTTCTGAGCTTCAGGGAGAAGGGCTTGGTGACATGCTCAACGGACCACTTGCTGATTCTGTGGAAGGACGGGGAGAGGCAGTCCCGGCTGCGCAGCCAGGCGCTGTTCCAGAAGCTGGAAGAGAACGGAGGACTCTGAAACCGAAGCCTTTACTCAGGAGAGAAGGACGATGATCGTTGCCTCGCACATCATATGACTGTAGACTGACGATTGCTGTTTACATTCATTGGTTGACTAGTTGTTTTTTATTTTTTTATTGAGGAAAGTTCATTAATTAAAGTGAATGAAAATTGAGGTAAAAAAAATATAGCTTTTCTTTTCATCGTTTGAGATCTATAGAGCTGAATCCTGTTTGAGGTAAGACATAAAAAATCCCTGCTGTGGTTCTGTCAGAGGAAACAAATACAAATTTTCACGTTTTCCTTTTTCAGGGTGTCTATGCATCCTTAAAACGTTTTAAATCCATGTTTCTAAATTTAAGGCATTAAAATGTCTTTAATTCATAAAAATGTAAGTTGGTCTTAAAGATAGGAGTCACAGATCTTAAATTTTGTTGCAGCAGGACTATTTATTCTCATGTAGTTTTCTGTCAGCTTGAGTCGGGCGCAGATATCTTAACTGCCTTTTTACTCCAGGCAAAAAACGTTGAAGCTAAAACTTTTGTGTGGCGTTAAGGTTAAGAGAGTCATACGCAGTGAGAAGCCACTGAGACCCATAAACAGAGCCCAGAAATATAAATTTATGCTGAACATGATTATACTACAGGAGGATCCCATGCTCCTTTGAGGTCTTAAATTTAATTCAAAGTGGCATTAAAAAAAGTCTTCAGTTCAACTGCATATGCCCTGTTTTAAAAACTGGCTTAACAGCCTTTAATTGAAAATTAAATGAATCTTCATTTTAAAGATTCACTATTAAATGAATCTTTTTTCTTTACAGGTTATACTGGTGAAAGTTATGGAGGCAGCTGCCAGAATCCTCCTAAGTTGTTCAGTTTTAATTGCACCAATCAGTGCCAAACAAAGCTCACATTTTAAATGTCAAACATCGTAAATGTGATATTGCACGTTTATTTATTCATGAAATAAATCTGATTTCTCAAACTAATGGGATAGTTTTTTTTCCATGTAGTTACACAAAAAGTTTATAGTTTATTTTCTGTTTACATGTGACGATGTCCAATAAATATATTATCCATTTTTACCTGGATCTGCTCTGGTGCTGCTTCTTTTCCTCTAAACCAGTGGTGTCAAAACTAAGGCTGCAGGACCATTTATAGCTCTTGGGATTATTTTGTGCAGACTCCAGGTAAAGAGCTTCACATCATCTACGAAACATGGATGAAGGTGCTGTGGTTTGGCGATACCTCCTGGCTAGCTCGCCATAATGAATCCACTGAATTCTCCCATGAGTCAGATTGTGATGGTGAAAAATGTGAGAATATCTGTAACAAAATGACAACTGGAGCAGGACTGGACACCAGTGTATCCACCAGAGCTTTTATATATTTTGCTTAAAGAATGAAGCAATGTTGAACATGGAGGTTAACTGGTAAATAAAACTTTACCAGAGGTAAACTGAAAAAGTAGACATCTGCGTTGGTGCCAGTGATGTAGCCACTTCATAGTTAAATAACACTTTATTCATCTCTCACAATCCTTTTTTTGTTTAACAGAAAACGTCAAAAATAAGACATAACGTGGCGAGAGAAAAGTACATGAAGCTTTCAAAACAATCAGACATGGCAGAGTTTAGGAAGCTGGAACGTAAAACGTACAACTATTATGCAAGGGGCAGTAAAATCTTTAAAAACACACAGTACAGTTGTCATGGGCAATAATAATAATAATTTTCTCAAAAATAGATTTTTCTCAACTCGACATACATATATCACTCTAATGACAGTTTTCGTCGATAAATGGTGCAAAGCTCAGGGTTGGCACGGGCGTCACTGAAGGCGAAGCTGTCTGTGGTTCTGCTGGGCTAAAAGACACAGAATGCATGTTGCATTCAAGCAGCGGCTGTTCAGCGGAAAAGGCATGGCTGTCTGAAGTGTGAATATTAAATATTTAAAATCTCTCTCTCTCTCTCTCTAAAATTTCTAGTTACAGGATAGCAAAAATATCCTCTCATGACCGTGAAACAATCTGAGCTGGAAACGTGTTTCAGATCTCTGTATTTTTGGACACGATGAGCCGAAATGTGAATAGCACGGGAGCACCGACTGCAGCTTTCTGGCCGATCAACGATCTTTCATAGCCTGACCTGCCGATTCCAATTTTCACCAATTAATTTTGTCTGAAAAGTCACTTAATATAGCAAAAAAGTCGCTAAGTTGGCAAACCGTGACCTGGAAGGTGGATCATCAGCCAAGCAGCGCAAATGAGGGCAATTTTTAGATTTTTGTGCGGTAGATAAGATCAATTTTGCATTTAAGTGTCGTTAGCCAATTGCCGATCTCCCAAAATTGAGGAAATCGGTGCCGATTCATTGGTGCACCCCTTAGTAAATAAGAAGAAACATTAAAAGCGAAGCAAGGCAAATGAAAACCGGCGCGTTAGCTGAGTATTTACATGAACAGCAGGCGCATCAGGTAGTTTTACAGTGTGGCACAAGCAAAGCACACCCAAACAGCGACACACGACAGGATTAAGGCGTTTTCGTAAGAAAGTGATCATCAGTAAAGTGACAATAAATACAGTGATGTTGGACGAAGTTGTGTGTGTGTGTGTTTTTTTTAAGGTATTTGAAACTATGAGCAAAATGAACCACAAAATGCAACCTTTTAATTTAAAACCCAGGACATCTGTGATGGGACGACTGAAGACCATGAAACAACGTCGCAGATGTGTTTTCTTTTAGCCTAAAAATCACAGACACTTGTGGCTTTTCTTGTGATTCACTTTGTATAGAAAGCAGGAGCCGTTACTATGAATATGCTGTAGTGTGTGAGGAGAAAAGTGAGCTATAAGGCACCTATGAGGGAATCTCTGTGCCTTGGGTTGATTCTGCAGTGTGTAGCTGCAGCTCAGAGGATCACCATCCCTGCCATAATCTCCTCCTGCTGGCTGCTTTAGTGGTTGCCAATACATTTTCAGCTAAAAGTGACCAGAAAATTTGCGTATATGTAAAAAAAAAAAAAATCATATATGAATACATTTACAATTACAGAAGAAGAAATTTCTTACTCACATTTAACTGCTGGTTTGATGTGCAAATCTTTGTTATGTCCACCAGAGGGCATACATACCATATTCGTGATTTGATCAAGTTTTCTTTCATTTTTTTGTTTTTTTATAAAAAAAAAAAAAAAAAAACTCAACTAAATTTTCATTGGTCGTGTTTATGGCTTCAGAGATCTTACTGGATAACAACTCATGGGTCAGACTGAGCGACATTTGTTTATAAAGATGTGTGACAAATCAGAAAATAAATGGCTGAATGTTCTGAGTGAGGTCAATTTCTTCCCCAAACTACTAAAATAAAAGTTTTGTCCACATTAAACCTGCTCAGATGCTCACAGTTCATTTCTACAGTTTGTGTCGCAAAGGTAAAAGTTCAACATTTACCCCGGTACAGTGCATTCTGTTCGGTAAAAGCATCTCCATCATCCACATCGGCTGCTTTCACACACACTAAAGACGGGAAAGAAGCTAAAGCTGCAGATTCTATCTTTTTTTTTTTTCAGGCTACATGATCTTAAAACATCCGCAGCACACAGAACAGCCCTTGGTTGTCAGGTTTTATCTATGGGGCTGAACTATCGGCTCACCCCACCGTCTCCAGAGATCTGCTCTTGGAATCTTTCCTACAACACTCTTCCTGCTCAGGGCTACTGGGGTTGCTTACAGTTTGGTCCCACACACGTTTTTTTTTTCTTTTTTAGATATTAAGGATGAATAATTCCAGCTGAGCACCTTCACAAGTCTGTATCAGAAGTTTTAGAGATGCGAACTCACATCTACGAAGAAGCACAATCACTAGAGATGCTCACCTTTCAGTCAAGCGCCTCTTGCTCTCGTTGCTCTTTTGCAACCACACCCAGATATAAAATAATAAGGTTTAAAGAAAACAATAATAATAATAATAATCATAATAATAATAATAATAATAAAAATAATAATAATAATAAAAGCAAAGAGCAAAACAGAGCTCGAAATCCAAATGTCTTGATTTGCTAAAGTGCAGATTTCCGGCGTGTTACGCTGTATGGTACGGATTGTCGGGTAAGCCGTGAGGTCCACACAGTTTCAAAGAGACGCCAGAACAAAATGGCGGATGACAGTCATTCGGGCTGTCAGATGAAAACTTGTTTTTTTCTTTTCCCATGGCGGTGGAACACCATGTTCAGTTGGAACGAGAAAAGCGTCCGGGATTTAAGACGGGATCAGTGCCACAGTGCTCATCAGTCGGCGATCTCGTTTCTCTTAGCCAGGGAATTGGCCCCGGTTCCTCGCCGTACGCGCTACTTTAGCGCTGCGGCTGAAATGACTAACTGTTTTAGCGTCCGGCCCGGGTCGCGGTGCCAGAGAGGAGAGCAGGGAGTCAGGAGGGCGGCGGAGGACGCAGGCTCTTGCACTTCATGTCGTCCAGGTTCTTCCAGTACTTGTAGTTCTCGGACAAATGCTCCATCAGGTTGGGGAGGCTGGCAAAGGCTGCAGCACACAAAGCAGGAGTTGGTAAAATATTCACTAAAACATATTGACACAGGTGTACCATTTGGTGCATTTAAAAGGTAGTTTAAACTTACTAAACACCAGCTAAATATATTTTAGTCAACACACTCTCAAGCTACACAATGCAGATCCTCCCTCTGCACTGATGAAGATTTTCTCTGTTCAACTGCTCAAAATATCTCCAACTGACAACCATATAATCTACTTTTTAAAGAATTTGGCTAATAACTCAACACCAATCACAGTTAGTCCGCCTTACTCCAACTGCAGTCCGCTTGCCTAGAAAGTCCGGTTCGGTTGGGGAGGTGAATGCATCAACTCGTCAGATGTGGACAAAAACCTTAGTTTGGCTGAAATCTGGTGCGGTACCAATGCATATGTGAATGCCAAGTGAACTGGAGACCGCTTTTGAGGCAGGTAGCAGACCTCGCTCCTGGCCAAAAACAACCAATCAGAGCCAGGAGGAGGGTGTTAGTGCTGTTAATCATCCTCATGTTCTCACTGCTAAATGTGCTAATGGTGGAGAAACAACTTACAGTTACAGAAGACAGTTTGTCTGCTGTCATTGGTGGCTATGCTAACTAGCCTTAGCATTCACCACAGACTACACCGCAGTAGCAGAGAGCAAAGGAAGAGGGAAAGGGGGGTAAAACGTGCCACTTGAGATTGTGATTGACAGCGCTAAGACCCGCCACTTGCCTCTGATTGGTTGTTTCTAGTTAGCACTGGGAGAAGGCAGAGGAGCTGGATTTTTTCACAGTTTATCTGTGTCACACCATGCTGCCACGCCATCGTTTCAACAAATAAGTAAAAAAAGAAAAAAACATTGTTTATAAAAGCTACATACTTCAGTTTTGAGGGATGAGTCAGTACTTCTGGGCTTCTGGTGTCACCAGTGGGTATGTGGTTAACTAAAATGTGACCCAGGGCTGTGACTTTGCTCTCATTTCACACAGATTTGATGTACTACACATGCAACAGAAAGTTTCTCTAAAAGGATTAGATGATAACACTTAACTACAAATACCCTTTCTGGTCTGAAATGGCTCATGCGCGGCGGCTAACGTGATGTGCGTCCCACAGTTAGGGGCTGACGGGTTCAGAGGTGTCCGTGTCTCTCCCTCCTTTCGCTCCGCTGTGTGTACGTTCCCAGTGTTCTCTCGCTCGCTTGTTTACATCCTGGCTTCCGGCTCGCTGATGGCCCACGCTGCATCTGTGGCCCCTGACATGAACCGACAGCGACCCCAGTGGGTCGTATGCGCCTTGTGTTTATGTGTGAACCGGAGTCCCCTCAACCCAGTTAGAACTTTCCCAACTACCCCCCACCTCACCCCCCTCCTGTGACACTCTCCCAGTTTCTCCCACTAGCATTAGAAGTCTTTCCGTGACATCAGAGCCGCTGACAGTAAACAGCTTTCCTCTCGGGGTTCGTAGGAACAGGGAATAAGGAGCTAATATAAGGAATCTATTTCCTTTCTAATTCTTTTTAGCGCTGACAGGTTGGTTTCATTCATTCTGTCTGGACTGTAGTTCGGAGGTCGAGCTCAGACGAGTTCTGTTTCCATTAAAATATGACTTCAAATTTCTTTGTGTCACCATAAAGCCATCCAAATTCAAATAGCGCAAAATTATTCATCCATCTGTCAGATTTACGTTTAACATTGTTTTCACAAAGTTTGATGGGTTGTCTTGGTTACGAGACTGTTGGAAAAGAGTTTAGTTTGTCCCTGGTTAAATAAATGATATGTTAAACTAAATTCAACTATTGGAAAGTAGCATCAATTTAGGAAAAAAAATAATTTACACTTTATTAAAAAATAACATGTTGGAAATTATTTCTACCTTTCTCAATAATCACTGGACAGTCTATTTATGCCAGTAAAACAAATGCTTCTAGTTAACATGTTTGTCCAGCTTTTCCATGTTTCCACTGGTATTCTGTTCATTTACCCTTGTAGATTCAAAATGGCGTCACCTTAAAGGAAAGTTACAGAGTGGCTGCTGCAGAAGCCACATTCATCTCAGTTTTTCTTTTGTTTTTTATTTTATTTTTACATTTTAAACATTTCCAAACAGCAAATGTTTTAGTATAAGGGAGATTTTTGGTGAGAACTCGCCTCATTCAGCTAAAATGGACTGGCAGCCCATAGCAACAGGTGGGGGAGGGAAAGTGTTTCTCTACTAAAAAAAATGTAATTGTTTTAAACTTTGACACCTTGAACCAGTCCATGAGCAGAATCAGTTCTTATTTCAGAGTAAATCTGCTAAACATTTGCTGGAAGCAGCGCGGCCATAATAGGAGCATCAAGAGGAAAACAAGAACAAAGCGTTTTCAAGCGCATGAGAATGGAACTGATGGTCTTCGGGGAAACAGCTGGAACATGTGAGGAAGAGCCATGAAGCTGATTTTCTCCAGAACAGGGAGAACTTTATTTCTTGGAAAGCTGTTGCGTTGACCTGACTTTCAGTTTTTAGGAACAAAGAGGCCTGTTTTAGTAAATAAATTCCCTATGTGTGTAAAAAAAAAAAAAAAAATACCCACGGCGGTGCGGGAAATGTTGCTCTTACCGTCCCAGGCGTCAAACATATCTGTGATGAAGTAGTCTATGAAGGAGATCTGAGATTTGGGCACGCTGCAGGTGTTTCTGTCAAACACGGGCATCACCACGGGCAGCCCTTGTCGCTTCTCCTCGTCCGTCTGCGAGCAAAGACAAAAACCAATTCAGTCGCTTCGAAGTAAAACAACCAAAGTGGTGACGAGGAACAAACGGCTGTCTCCCTTTCGCCCCCCCACCTGGGCGAAGTACTCCTCTGAGATCCGGCCCGCCCACTCGATGCAGAGCTCCAGAGGCCTGCAGGGGTTCGCCACATCTGCACACTTGATTAGCATCCGCTTGATCAGCAGGCGGTTCTCTGGAGAGTTTCTGATGTTGCTCTGGCCCTCGCAGTCGCTGTTCGTGCTCTGTTGGAAGTATCACACAGAAATGAGCGACGCTATCGACAGAAACATCAGTGACTCAGATCTGCTAACATAGGCTACGGCTAAGATGTTACTACTGGCAGAAATGGCGGAAAAGACAACAGGAAGTTGCAACAAATAATTTGTTCACTACTTATAACATGAACAAACTTATTCACTCTTGATTTTATTCATGCATTTCTTTTTTAATAGAAACGCCACAATTGGAAAATTGTGGGAGGTTTTTTTTAGTGGAATTTCAACAAAGTATTGGACACATTTGTAATGGAAATGTAGCCAGTTTGCACAGTTTGTTGTTCGCAACATCTAACTGGTGGTTGTTTGCTGAAATAAGCCCCTTCTGTGTCCCATCTCCATCGAGGAATAATTCCTTAATTAAAACCAGTTTAAAAACCAGTTTGTGGCGCCTCTGACAGATAAGTTTGTTTACTTATGGTGCCCCTAAGACCACACTGCCCTGGGAGGTGAGCCACAAAGTGAAGCTAACAAAGCTTTTAGAGTTTAAAAGAGAAAAACACCGCTTTGAAATAAATACCAGTATTATTGTCTGCAGTACATCCATGGATGATGTGCACCTTGTTATGAACTACAGCTGCTTCTCAGCCTGCTCTGGAATACTGCTTTGAGTTCTGCTGCTTGTACATTTTAAAAAAAAATCACTAAATTGTTCAGTAAACATTTGGTAAGGTACCATGGCAACGTGTCTCCCAGGATCAACGTGACAAATCTTCCAAATTGGTTTTCAAGCTGCAGCCTTTCATGTGAACTTGACTCAGGAAATAAAATACATGTGCTACCAGCAGCAGCTCCACAACTTGTTTTACATCCTGCAGTTTGCAACACATTCGCCTGTGAACCAGCACTCTCAATTTTCGTGTGATGCAGAATCGGAACAACAAACCGGGTTACAGAGCCAACATGGCAGCGATTGTTTTGTGATTCATTCTCAGCTTTTTCCTCTTCTGACTCACACATAAAGGATCTTTTCGGGTTTCATTTATTGCTTTTCACAAAATTTACACCAATCTCCTGCCACTTCATTCGAAATGAAATTGATCAGAAAATCAAAATCCTTATCGCAACACTCTTCCGATATTTCAGCAAGAATGCAGAATAAATCCTGAAAGTACAGATAAATGAAAAAAATGTTTTCACAGTATAGTATTGTGATTAAATATGATAATAAACTTGGCAAGATATGTATAAAATTAAGACCAAACTGGTTTAAGGCGATGCTACTTTACAGGCCAATCTGAGGAGCAGCAGAACCGATCACTGTCTCTGCAGAAATCAGCAGAAACCGTGTAAGAGGTTATAATTGATTTAAATCTGAATACAACTGATTTATAAATTACTTTTAATGATATGAGCTTTTATTCAAACGCGGGACAAAGCTCAAACAGTACAGTAACGTAGCAATTGTCCCAGAAGGCACATTTTATTTTCTGGTTCTTGGTTGCCACGCTCTTTTGTGTGCCGCCCTGGGCAACCGCCCCAACTATAGCGCATAAAAACCCACCAGCGTTTGTTATCATATCTTGTTTACGTTAAAAAAGCCACCATTTCCGGCCCAGAAGATCAAAACGACGCCTGCTGGAGCTTACACTGGTGCTGGTTTCTTCGATGGCGGCCATTGGCTTGTTGATGCTGTTGACAAACTTGCTGACGTGCTCAAAGTGGCGGGTCATCTCGGTGGCGAGCACCATGTCGATGATGGCCTGGCGCAGCGTGCGGAACTGATTCCTGATGGCAGCGAGAGCGTGTGGAGACAGCGTGAGAGGAGAGTCAGTGGACAGCTAAAACACCAGAGGGAGAACGGGTCGCTAAATCCCTCAGAGGGAGACGTTACAAGATGTTTGTGTCTGATTCTCCAAAATAGCTTTTTCTGTGTTGTCTTTAATCAATGGACTGTGTTGTCTTTAATCAATGGACTTAGAATTAAACATCTGCCTTTCTACTCATGTTCTAAAGAAAAGCAGAGCTTTTCTTTAGAACAGCTTTTTTCTTTGCTGGGCTATAGCATCGGCTTGCTTGTAACTACTAGCTAACAATCACTGATGGGGTTGACTGTCACATGTGAAACAAATGGCAGCTATTTATACAATGGAAAAAAACTCCTTAACTGAAAATGAAAAAAGTGAGTAAATAAAGCAATATAGATTTATTAAGCCCTATTCTGTTCTGTGGTGGACAACATGATTCTGTTTTTATAACCAACTTATTGTTTGACAAGTTGGGAAATGTTCATGAAAAAAGAGATATTGTTGCTTCTATAGTGTTTTTTCCACAGCTAAGATATTAAATTAAATATTGTATATTGAAAGTTATTTTTTAAGAACTAACAATTATATTTTCATTAAAAGTGGTGCATAAATAAGGTCACACTGACTAAGCATTACAATTTTTGAAATTTAGAAGAAAGCAAAAAGTGTGACAACCAACCCGTTCTCCCCCACTGTGCTGCTGATGGAAAACTTTAACTTTTACTTTAACACATTTTCTTTTCTTTTTGTTCCTGTCACAGCGTTCTGCATGTAGGCCAGGACGTTTCTGGCTGCTCTCGCGGAGCAGAAGGCTCTTCCAATTGCTTTCTTTCAACATCAGTTTTCTTCTTACCACTCATCCAGAGTTACACGCCGTTAGTCCCCTGACTTCTGCTGACTAGCATTTACGTCACATAGCAACAACCATAAAACATCACGATTCAAGTGTTTAGTCACATTAGCATGAAATGTGTTGTGAGATATATTTATAGCCACAGTCAGCAGTAGAAGAGCTGAAGTTGGTGGTGCTTATGCTTTAAATAACATATTAAAGAAAAGACGTCCAAACTTTAAAGGCCACTTTTTTTATTTTATTTATTTTTTTATTAAAACCCCATAAAATTTAGCTTTTTTTTACCTGCTCAACAATAAACAACCAATGCAATATTTTAGTGAGACAAACAGATGAGCAAAAGGGATTTCTAATTTCTTTTTAGATCCGAAACATAATAATTGTGATATTAAAGGAATACCATTTACATTTGCTATTATTATTATTTGACTGATGTTTGTTTCCTTTTCTATATCCCAAGACTAAAATGAGATTGAAATAATTCTTTCCTCATGAATTTTGCTTAATTAAGTGACGTTTATCAATTAATTAAATACAGACATGACTGCCCCAGGTCTACTTTTGAGTAAAAATGTTACTGCATTCAATTCAGTTCAGTAAAACTTTATTCATCCCCAATTTAAAAAGTGCAGAGAGCAGCTGCAGACACAAAAACAGGCACATTACAAACATGTTCTTTCTTTTAACACATTTGTTTTCATGGTTTTTCAGGCACCTCTCCTCTCACCGACCTGTCGATGTTCTTAAAGATGTTGCTCTTGCCGTCGCGGATGGTGAGCTGGAAGGCGAGTGCGGCATGGTGGCTCTCCAGCACGGCCGTGTCGTTGTAGAGGATGGCCAGCTCGCTGCCCGCGTTGCACAGGAAGGAGTTGGTCCGGCCCGGGTGGTCCACGTCGTGGACCGTGGCGGCTATCAGCGCCGCCACCTCGTCCAGCTGGTCCAGGCTGCTCTGAAGAGGCAGCAGAGACCGAACGGAGACGTCAGCATAACTGGATGAAACTTTATAAATATGCAAATCAAATTCTGAGATAACCCACTATCGCTTAACATTAGCAGTTGTTGCAGGCTTGGTGGTTTTTGGTGTTTGAAAAGTCTGTTAGCTACAGAGCTAATGTTAGCAAAATGCATCTTTGCCGTCTTTCTTGTAAATTGTAATAATTCCTACTTTCTAACATGTGTCACTGATGTTTATTTATTTATCTAGAATGTGCTTCAAAACTTGGTACAAAAAAACCTTTTAATATGCTATGAAGGCTAAAAATACAGTGTTATTTTCCATGCTGTTTTTCAACATGCAAGTATTCAAACCCCTTAAGCATTTTCAAATTTTGTCACATTACAAGTACAAGCTTCTGTTCTCAGAGAATGTGAATTTATATCATGGGACAACACATCATACACAATAATTGTGAAATGGCAACAGAACTTTCTGCCAAGAGCTGAAAGTTTACCCAGGGAAAAAATCCCAGTTCTCAGAAAATGTTCCCGCCACAACAACGCAAAAGGCCAGACACGGTGCTGATCTCTGCATTTTCCAAGAAGCTCAGATTTTTCTAAGAGTTTTTTTTGTTTCCTGAGAGAATTAATTCATGAGTCCAGCCTGAGGCCAGACGACGATGGTAAATTATGCTGAGCTAGCGGGAGAGCACAAGAGCAAAAACCTGGCAAGTGAGACGAGTCTTGAGACTGAGTTTGGACCCACAGAATTTTTTTTAGGAGAAAAATGTCTGTCAGGGTGGAATTTATTTGTTTATAACGGTTCAATTTTATGTAAAATCAATCTTTTTTTTAGCTTTACATCATGTTATAATGTTATTCCCTCAAAAAACACACATAGGGAGTTGCTTTGACTCTAATGCATGTTTCAGAAATCCTTTAATCGTCATGGCAACCATTACACAGGGAAGAAATGCCTGGGTGGACTTGGCTCCGCCTTTGAGATGCAGCTCCTCCTCAGAGCTGCAGTTCCCAAGCTTCCGCCTCACAAAGCAGCTCTTTGCTTTAACTCCTCCATTCTGCTCCTTCAGACTAGCCAGCAGCAATTAGCAAACACCTGGTGGAACCACTGAGCTCATTATAGGAGCTACTTCTCAGTGCAAAGCTGGTAAAACTGTTGTTAACAGAGGAACAAAGTTGTAATGACTTCCTGAAGGCAGAGCTTCAAAAAAAGCAGGAGTTTCTTAAAGAAACAGAGGCCCAATTTCAAGGCATTAACTCACTCAGTCAAATTTCTTTTAAGTATTATTTGATGTAAAAAGCATTTTTATAGCAACTAAAGTAGCTTTATTGTGCTATAAAATGGCAATTTGTGCCTCAAAACCCTTTCAAAAAATCAAGCTCCCCATTCTGTGGTCCGTTACCTTGACTCTCTCCTTGCGCAGAAAGTAGGCCGTGGCGTGCAGGACGTCTGCAGCATGCGTGGAGTTGTGGTAGGAGTTGGAGGAGTGATAGTTGGCCTCCATGAGCTGTAGCCAGGAGCGCAGCGTCGCCTCAGAGCAGTTCAGGAAGTCACACACTCCGAAACTGGTGAAAATCTTCAAGCCGAGGTAAGTGAGCGGTCTGCAGCGAAGCAAATGACAAAGCAGGCACAACATGAGAGAAGTGTTGTAGGTTTCTGTGTTCTGGCTTCTTTTACTCTTATTCTAAAAGTTCCAGTTCCACTGGAAGATTTGTTCACTTAAGACATTTTTCCTATTCTATAAGTGAATAATCTGCCAATTAAACCAGTACTCTTTCATCAATGTTAAGGAATTATTGACTTAAAACAAGCTCATGTTTCTTATTTCATTTATTAAACAGTAACCACAGACATGATGGTGAAACCGGTACCTTTTATGCGTAGCTGCCTCCAGGTCCAGGATGTTGAACTCCCAGCGCTCCTCGTCGTTCAGCATCTCGGCGATGGACGGAGGAACGTCGCTCAGCGTTACCGGGATGGCCAGCTGGCTCTGGCTCATATCTAGCACACGAACAGAACAGCCTGAACACACCGCGGACACACACCTCTGAAGATTACACACTGTTAGAACGTAAAAGAGGGAAACCAGAACCTGGATTCCACCAAGCTTGCCTATAGAGCAGGGAAGTTTGGCCAAAAATTATAAAAAAATTTTTACATCGTTTTTAAAATGCAAAGATGATAGCCTTAACAGTCTTTCACACTAGTATTGTTTTTTTAGATTAAAGTTATAGTTTTTCATTTACATTGAAAACTACCTGCTTTTTTGAATGTTCCTTTAAAGAAAATACATTTACTTCACCCTATTTGAAAATATTCACGTTGTCTTCATTTTAAAACCAAAAAACTGAAACAAAAAGGAAGGAAACATACAGTGTTCATTACAGTGGACTGTAATCTACTTTCCTTGTGTATTTTCTCTTTTTCTTCTTATTTGAATAACATCTGTTGGGCCACATTTCTTAACATGTTACAATTTTAACCTCATTGTAATTTAATTTAAAAACAAAGCAGTATAGTATAAAATGCCCAACTGAATTTGTCTGCATTAAACTACTAGATTGATTTCTGATTGGTAATAAATTTGGACTTGAATAAGTTTACTCATTTAGTTTATTCTTAATAAACTAAAAACTTACTACTGTAAAAAAAAAAATGAAATAAAATTAAAAAAAGGAAATGTCTCATTTTGTGCATACCACAAATGCAGTATTTGAGAAAAGTTCAAAAAAGATTTTATTCTAATGTTAGCAAAACACTCAGAAGAACATAAAAGATTACAGAACGTGAAACAGATTTGTTTGAATTCCTTTTGGTGCCAAGTGACGTTTTGAAACTTACTTTTACTGAAAACATATTCATTCCCAGAGAGTCTCCGCAGCCCGTCCTGAAGAGGATGAAGAAAAGAAACACAAAATCTTTTGATATTACCCAGAAAATGTTTCGTTTACATTATTCTACATCATTTTTTAGCAATAGTTCTGTTATAAAATACACAATGACAGCAGCCTGAATTTGCATTCTGATACAAATAAACAAATTAAATTAAAAAATACAAATACTGCCTGCTAAACCATATACTATGTCATATTTGTTAAAAGTGTTGCTTTTAAAGTACTTTATAAATAAAGCTGGAGAACCTAAAAACTTTATCCTCATTAAAATGACTCTCAATTTTAAGACCTTCTTGTGGTAAAATTACATCTTTATTCTGCTAATATTATAACTATATCCTTGCACCTAAGCATACATTTTTGTAGCCCAACATTAATAATAATAATAAGGAGAAGAAGAAGAAGAAGAAGAAGAAGAAGAAGAAGAAGAAGAAGAAAGTGATTAAAATTTAAAAAATCGGAGGTTTTAGTTTGAGGAGGGTTTGATATGTTGCTGCTTCTTACGGTCATGAGCCCCCCGACCAGGTCGTTGGTGTGGGGGTCATCGTCTTTGGAGGCCAGCTGGGGGGAGTAGAGTTCGGTGGTCCTCAGGATCTCCAGCACGCGGTCCAGAGCCTCGGCGACCGTTACCGGGCTGCTCTCCTGGGCCGTGTTGATGATGTTTATTACCTGCACAGCAACACACCACAGGCATTACATGCGATAACAGAGCGACTCTTTGTGCGTGTGTCATGGAGGTCTGCATGTGACATGCTGCGATGTCTCTACTGGAGAAAACAAGAACAAAACAAAACGAGAAAAAACCCCCCAGCCAAATAAAGTTATTTTTGAGTCCATAAGGGCATCGTAGGTCCTGCAGCGGCGGGCCAAATGAGACGATGTGAAACATAGATATTATGTTATTAGATGCAGCACGATGTGATCCATCCAGCAGCTTTACTTGAACTGAATCGGTGTGAAGTTTGTGTCACGATAAATTTTGACGCGTGATAAATTGTGCCGGTAATTATCGCGATAAATGATAATATAGTTGTTTTGAAACCATTTTCTGGTAATATATTGATAATAGCACTGCAATATGCATGATTTTAATTCCATTTGATGCAAACAATGCAATTCAAAAATTGCATTGTTTTTGCATTTTGCACACATTTGTAATAGAAACCCAGCTGGTTTGAGATTTGTTCACATTTAAACAGCCACATTTTAAAGATTTTAAAAAAATTATTATTAATTAAACAAGATCTTGTGTCTGTGAAAATGTTGCCTTAAAAGACAAATAGTGTCCATCTGCTCCATTCGAGAACTGTGTTTGGGGACCGGGAAAAGAAATTCAGCGTGCCGCAAATGGCCCTCTCACCACACTTTGGACACCCTGCTTTAAAGTCTTTGATGGAAAATAATCTGTTGCTCAAATAGTTTCTAGCAAAGAACATTTTCCACCTCATAGAGTGTTTCACAAAACGGTACACATACAAAATTCAGAAATAAATATTTCTTCACGATTCAGACAGACATGAAGAAGTAAATGTTGTACCTTGGTGATGGGAGCCTCAATTGTCATCGAATGGATTCTTGCAACAGAAGAATATCTCCGGTTCTGTAAACTAGGAGCTGTAACGAGGAAGCCGTAACTGTTAGCACAGTGAAAACTCGCTATGAACAAGTCTGAGTGTTTTTGTTCAAAGATCAAAATCAAAAATTAGAGCATTCAGAAATTGTAAACACTTAGATGTACAAATACACACATAATATGCTGTATCTTTTTCAAAAAGGTGCCACATAATCAGTAATTTTAGGCCACAGCAGTCATGACATTTAACTGTTAGACATCTTAACATTATTCTGCCTTATAGAGGAATAATTTAGGATTTGAATGAAAGAAAAATAGGTAGGCAGAGAAGAGCTGCATTCAGCAGAGGTCTCTGAAAATAGCAGCAGCTGCGTCAAAGAGGGTTAAGGAGTGGAGGGGAGGGGGAGTGCAGATGTCATCAGCCTACAACATCTCCCTTTAGGATCTCTTCAGCTTCAAGTACCAACCAGAACGCCGTCTGACTAACACTCTGAGTTTCCATCTCCAATCACCCCCCATTCTTTCTTTCTTATTCCTGTTTCTACTTTATTCCGTTTGCGTTGAACTCTCTCTGTGCCCCTGTTGTTTTGTTCTTCACATAGCAGGACTGGTGCGGCTCTGTTCGGTGAAATGGAAAGCTCTGAGCAGACCTACCGTCGCTGCCACGGGAACCAACCGATCTGGCATCGATCGAATCTTTCCGTCTGTCCCTGTGTCGCAGTGAATGGCACTCTGTAAAGGAAGCGAAGACGTTAAATGCAGATAGAGACGTATTGTGGCTGTTTCATTAATAGAAATGTTAGTCGAGACTAAAAACATTTTAATCGATAATGTTGTTTTCTTTTAGTTACTCTTTATATCTGCAGTTTCAGGTGTTATTTGTGACTTCAAATATAACTATTTTTTGCAACTGTTTTAGTGCCACTATTTAATTCATTTCTGCACTGGATCCACAAAGCAGAATACAGAAACAGTCCCACCCATAAGGTCCAGAAGATAAATGTTTTTTCTTTTTTTTCTTACTTGAAACAGTCTACTTGATAAATATGACGGTGTATTAAGGCTATTTTAGATGGAAAAAGGAAAAAGGAGTACATTTCTGCCAAAAAACTAAAACACTTTTAGATTAATCTCAGAAATTTTCAAGAAAAAGCAAGGAAATGTCTGGGACATAAAAGTTGAAAATTTGCAAGAAAAACTCACATTTCTGAGATTACACTCAAAATTGTTTCAGAAAATTTCTGAACATTTTCTGAGAACCAAGAGTCGAAAATTTTCCACTTTTGAAACTTTTGAATTATCAAAAACTCCAAAATTGTCAAAAAATTACGTGTTCTTTTTTTTTTTTTTTTTTTTTTTTATTTTGTAATTTTTTTTTGATAATGTTGTGTTTTTAAAT